CTTTTAAATGAAACCAGAGAGCGTTGACAGAGAGGAGAAGGTAGAAATGACTCAGCCTGGAACTGAAAATAAAGTCTGTTACAACTAATCAGGGATCACTTTAAATAAAACTTTTCAGGCTAACAGGATTAATAATCCAACATATTCTGATCTTGTTCAGTACATCAGCCTCAAAACCAGATCAAAGTGGAGCTGAGTCCCCTGACACACCTTTATTTACATATGTAAAACAGATGTAAATGTGTCCAACAGAACTTACATCAAATAAAACTCATGAAACAGGACAGAAATGATCCTGAGTAAATAAAGTTTTATTTATATAGCGCCTTTCACAGAAATAAATTCACAAGGTGCTGTACATTCAGGGAGGGGGGGGGGGCAGTCAAACACCCATTCAAGAAGACACACATGACAAACACGGGGAACAGGTGAAACCAGTCATGCAGCAGAGTTGTGTAAACACATGGTCATGTGCACAAAAAATAACTCACAAGAGAGCAGACAGCTTGAGCGGGGGGTGTGGGTGGGCTTAGGTCAGATAACACATAAGGGGGAGGTAAGACAGGGCGGGATCAGAGGAGTAGGTGACATTGAGGGAGGGGGGATAGGACCCAACCCTGACCCCTCCAGAGTCCAGAGTCACATGATGTTATCATCTCTGCTCGTTTAGTCAGAGTTCAGAGTTTCTCTTCCTCGGCCTTGGGTTCCAGAGCCAGGACCAGCACGGGTGATGGGGGTGGGAGCAAATCAAGCTCTTTGTTGACATTCCATCCTGGGGAGGTTCAGATAAACACTGCCATCAAAGCTGCGCCACTGGGAGCCAAATAGTTAATTCAGTTGTTTTGGAACAAAGCAGCCTTGAATTTCCTGCTGTTTTTGAAATGTCTTAACTGTAACTCTGATGTGGCGGGAACAAAAAAACAGCTGAATTTGGGGTCTTCCTTGCCTCTCACCATCTGAAGCGTCACCCAGATGTAATCCTTACATGCTGGAGGCTCGCTCCTGAGCTGCGATCCTCGTCAGAAACACGTCCACTTTGCAAATTTTCCCCCCAGTTGAGTGAGAGAGTGAAATCAAGTCCTGCTCCTCTTAAGGCCGATTAGAAACTACCTTTTAACTTCATATTTTGTTGCACAAACTTTTGTATGGAGGACCGAATCTGACATAGAAATAAAATAAAAAAATACACCAATTAAATTAAAGAAGTAGTATTTTATCTTATCAATTAATTGACCTTCATATTTATTTTCCAGCTTAGTTCCAATAAATTATAATTTTTAGAACGTCATCTATAAAATATTTATTTTGTTGTTTTTCCTTTTAATTGTACATGCATTTGTCTCTGCACATGGATCCTGCTGCTTCCTGTCTGTTGTCCAATAGGAGAGCAGCTGACCAAGAAGCCCCGCCCACCTTATTTACATAAAGAGGCAGAAATGCAAAGACAGTAATGTAAAAGCACATGGAAAAAGGATAAAAATAATTAAATATAATCATTAGAGACAGCATGTACAGAGAAAATGAAAAATAAAATATATATAGGTTTGTAAAAGCAGTAAAATGTAAATTATGTGCTTAAAATATATAATTTATTGGAACTAATCTGTAAAATTAATTTGTTTGGAGTGAAACCAGAACCCTGTCCTCAGGTGATGTCCTCCTGCAGGTTAGCTTCACAGCATGGAAACACTGATTCAATGATTAATTAATTCAGGTTTACACCTAAATCCAGACTTAATCCCTTCTCCTAGCTTCATGCAGCAGGTCCCAGCTCTGATCTTCAGTTTGTTTTGTTTCAGTTAAAGAAAATCTATCTGACCTCTGACAGCAAAACAGATAAAACTACCTGATGGATATTTGATGACTCAGCAGATTCTTGTTTCACTAATCGAACATGGCCGCCCCGTAGATCAGCTGTGTTCTGATTAAAAACCTTAAAGAACAAACAGGAAGGGGCTCTTCAAAATAAAAGTCTGACTCTGTCACAGTTTGGATCATGACTAAAACATATTTAGTGGAAACTTTCCTGTAATGAAAGAGGTTCTGGATCAGGTTCTGGATCAGTCCTGCAGACCAGACGGTCTGAAGGAGGTTTATTTAGACTCTGACCTCAGTCC